ATGGTGGTAGTATCCTGTAATCTAAGCTACTTGGGAGGCTGAGGGACGAGAATTGCTTGAACCCAGGTGGCAGAGGTTGCAGTGAGCCAAGATTGTGCCACTGCACTCCAACCTGGGCAATAGAGTGAGGCTCTGTCTCAAAAAAAAGGCAATCAAAAATAAGAATTTTTATTTTGCATGTGTCATTCATTTATATATTATCATGAGAACACAAATGTAAGCACAATACAAGTCCAATAAAAATATCAAACATACAAATCAAAAATTAAAACCAACTTTTAAACAAATCACTGTGGTAAGCCAATACATCAATATAATCTTTTTTTTTTGAGACAGGGTTACATGCTGGCACCCAGGCTGGAGTACGGTGGTGCAACCGTAGCTCACTGCAGCCTCAACCTCTCAGGCTCAAGGGATCCTCCTGCCATAGCCTCCCAAGTAGCAGGACTACAGGTGCATGCTACCACACCCAGCTAATTTTAAAATTTTTTTTTAAAGACTGAGTCATACTATGTTGCCCAGGTTGCCCAGGCTGGTCTTGAACTCCTGCTTTGGCCTCCCAAAGTGCTGGGATTATAGGCATAAGTCACTATACCTGGCCCACAATCATTTTTCACTATCAGTCACTTAGACATTATTTCTCAAATAAAGTCAATTACATTCATTTGTGAAGAGAAAGCAAAATAATAGTATTTCTAGTACATTCCATAAATGTAAACAGAAATTTGAGGTAAGTTCCTAAATATTAAATTAAAGATTTTACCATAACTTTTAAAAATTATGTGGTCTCTAAAAGGACCATATAAGGGCTCTTTAGAAATTGAAAATGTAATTTACTAATTTAGTCAATATCAAATTAACTTCACTAACCTCTTCAAACTTTGGACATTCATAATTCCAACCACAGATCTTATCATTACCAGTAAACATATTCATGGACATCATGCAGATGGTCAGTGTCACTGTCCCCACTATGACTTCCCACGGATGGGAGGCCACAAAGAGGCCATGCATTCGAAAAAGCCTTGACAACATTGTAGCTACAGACTTCTTGGATCCTGGAAGGAATATAAAATGTGAACACTTAGTATACAGCTCACTGTATTTTTAGGAAAAGATTTTAAGGAAAAGTGTGCTGTAAATCCTGCTTTGTATGCACAGTGTCCTATACATAAGACTATTGGATAGTGTTCCTTATAATTCTGGAAAATAATTGTAAAATTAAGAGAACTCTGTTATTACTTCTTCACTCAAACACTTAAATCCTTTATTACTCACTGGGCAACCAACTTTAAAGCAGCCATTTCTTAAAAAAATATATGAATTCAAGCATTTAAGATCAAACCAGATAAATATCTTGGCCTTATTATCTGAGCCAAGTAGAAGAGCAGTAAAGCAGAAAACATAAGTGAGAAACAGCTATTCACATTTTCTAATTACCTAGATTTAAAATGCTTGTAAGTACCTTCTTCATCATCTACATTTGATTACACAAAAGTAAACACCAAAGAATCTACTTGTTGTGTGTCCTGCCATAAATCCTGTTAGTTTATAAGATCCTCAAGGCAGGGACCTCTTATACTTTTTCATTCCATAAAACATATGGCATAGTGTCACCAAAAGGATGTTTAATAAACCTTCCTAAGATTGCTGTCAACAAAAAAAGATCTTTTCTGATTGAAGTTTCTACATTAATAAAACAGGGTAAGAATTTTGCCGTGGTGGCTGCTTTTCTTCTAGCAGAATCATCAACAATAGTGCTAGAAGATCAATGGAAAAGCATTAGCTGTGAAAAGCTCCCAACTTTCACAGCTAATCAAAAGTTAGAACAGTAGTAGAAGAGGATGACTGGCTGAAGTATCTGCATTTAGCATTCAAAAAAATTCCCAACAGAACATACAGATGATTTGGATCTAATGACTACCATGACTAAATTTCCTGTTAGCTAAACAATAATTTTGATATTTTGATTTTGAAAAAAATCTTGTATTACGATTGGTCTCCACCAAGAAACCTGCAAGTCTTATTTCTTTCACTAAAATTAATGCCTGTGATAAAGCATATTAGTAAACTATAAAAATCAACTAAAAAGATTTAAAAAGTAAGCTCATTAACTGCCACTCTAGCAAGAATTCAAATGAATCTCACATTTAGTAATAACTAAGAAAGTGAGTGATTTGTTGAAGACAGACTATAAAAAGGCAATCAAGTAAGAGAAAAAAAGAATTAAACTATTTATAAAGGGTTAGGAGAAAGACAAAAAAAAAAAAAAAAAAAAGTAGCTTTAAGGAACCAAAGCAAATACCAAGTGTCATCTCTCACTGCATGACTCGATGTTCTCTACATTTCAACCAATACCACACCACTAGCTAAACAGTTTTCAAACTGCTGGTCACAACCCTTCACTGGATCAATTAGATCATGACATCAACTTTGTCAATAAGAACAAACATTTTTAAATGAAATAAAATAGAAAACAATATTATATTAAAAAAAAAAAAAAAGCTGTTGGGTAAACCAGGTAGTATGGGTAGGTATTATTTCTTAATACTATGTTTCAAGAAACTACATATATATAAGTGTGTGTCTGGCTTCCAACTTAACATGTATTTCCTACCGTGGGTCACAGTTTTAAAAGCCTGGCAGTACCTAATGGAATATAAACATGCCTGTGTTTACTCATGCTTTTTCAACCTTCCACCCTGAGTCTTAACCATCAGTTTACCCTCCAGCACCTTGCACTCATATATAGCATTGCTCGGCGAATACCGGCTTATCTTCAACCCTTAAAACTAACAGTAGCAGGTGTTTTACAATACATCTTGAAAGAGACCTAAAGATAACTTTTTTTAAAAGGCACCTAGATATGGATGTAATCTATGCCCTCTAGTTTAAGGTTGAATGCAGAGCATTCAGGGAACATATTAACGGTGGAGGGGAAGGAGAAACACTTTACATTCCAAGTTGAGTATCCCTTACCCAAAATGTTCAGGACCAGAAGTATTTCAGATTTGGGATGTTTTTGAATTTTGTAATATCTGCATTACATTTACTAGCTTAGCATCCCTAATCCAAAATCCAAACTCCAAATGCTCCAATGAACATTTCCTTTGAGTGTCACATTGGTACTCAAGAAGTTTCGGGTTTTGGAGCATTTTGGATTTCAGATCTTCAGATTAGAGACAGTCAACTTGGAACTATCCTGGAAAATGAACAATAGCAACAAAATACTTTATATTAAATGAGCAGTACTTGGACTTAAAAGTATTGGAAATCTTTAATCAAATCTTAGATTTGAACTCTACTTAATTATATAACCAAAAGCCTCATTAAAAGGCTAGATTGTCGTGATGGTATTCTATCACATAATTTCTTTCTTACATTTAAAACACAACTCTACCAGCTGGTCTAAAGGATCAACTAGCATCAAAGTTCCAGAAAGTGAATTAACTATATGTTTCAAAACTAGATGAAAATTATTTCTAACCCTCCTTCCCTGCAAAAAACACTTCGGCTCAGATTATTCCTCATTATGTCAATCAGATTCATTGTCATTAAAAAATTCATTCATTTGAATTAAAATCTTAGCTGCAACCTAGAAGGAACACCAATTTGTGAACAAATTGGTTTAGCATCATAAACCCAAAATTATACATTAGACACATTATGTTTTCCCTCAAGATTTCATGGCAGCATTGTAACTCTGGGACTTTTTTTCCTAGGTGTAAAGTCATCTTTGCAATATTCAAGGAAAAAATTACACATGATTCTGTCAGTCACTCCTAAACACAGAGAACCCCACCTATTTGCAATCAAACTGAGTATGAGGGTGTGTCAAAAGTAACCATAATTATAAACAATCTCATTTCCCAGGAACATCCTCCTCATTGTCCTGTGATTATGCAAAGCATTTACATGCCAGAGAATCCAATCTTCCACCTTTGTCAGCAGTTGCAAATGACACAAGCAGGCTACAGGACAGCTCCTGCAAATTCAGTTGACAGTATTTATGCCATGCTGCAATAAAAATTAATTTTACTTAAATAGGCAAGGTATGCCTTACTCATTCAGACTAAAAAGTATACTGCATTTTACAAATTCTTTAAAAGAATAGATAATTCTCTCTCTCTTTTTTTTTTGAGACAGACTCTTGCACTGTTGCTCTGGCTGGAGTGCAGTGGGGCAATGTCAGCTCACTGCAACCTCTGCTTCCCGGGTTCAAGCGATTCTCCTGCCTCAGCCCAAGTAGCTGGAATTAAAGGCGCCCACCACCACACTCAGCTATTTTTTGTATTTTTAGTAGAGATGGGGTTTCACCATGTGGGCCAGGCTGGTCTTGAACTCTTGACCTCGTGATTCGCCTGCCTCAGCTTTCCAAAGTGCTGGGATTACAGGCGTGAACCACCAAGTCGAGCCTAGGATAAATCTTAAATGTTAATCCAGTCTGGATAATTGGATAATTCTTAAATGAATCATTCTTAAATGTTAATCCAGTCTGCTACAGAAACCACCTACCATGGCCAATTGCAGAAAAGGATGCTTTGGCATCCTACCTCCACCTACTCAGCACACCATCTGCATTACACATTCCAGTATTTGATTATATACTATCTTACAGTGTTCTCAAATTAATTAATGTATACATTTTGTCTCTTTGAAGGCAAGAATCACATCTTATATGGTAGTCATTTTCAATCCCAACAGGATCTAGCATTCTGCTGCTCAAGCTGATATTCCAGAAAGAAGAAGAAAAAAATCTTGCACTGGCAATCAGGAAACCTGAAGTCTATAATCAATTATATTACATTCTATTACATGTTGTTTTTAAGTCCCATCTCCTCTCTTCATTCACTTATGACGCTAGAGCTCCAAAGCTCTCTGACAAAGCATTAAACAGAACCATATGAAACTGCTATTTTTGTCGGTTAAAAAAAAAAAAGTCGAATTGTAAATACTGGCAATTTCACACGGGTTAACTTAAGTAGACCATAATGTGATTCCATAATGTGACTATAGTCTAGAAACTAGACCATAAAGGAATAAAAAGTATGTGCTTATACACATACACACTTCATCTTGAAATGGTTATCCCACACACCTGGCAATTTTCATGTTAATGCTGTCACCTATGTGTAATTTTGTACTGTCCAGCACTTTGCTAGATTATCTCTAAATTGCAAAACGCCTTTCATTGCATGGAGAGGAAAATAAATTCATAAGTAAACCAAAAAGTACATTCTCTACCTTGTGGGACGCCGAAATCATGCACATTTAGTACAGTCCAGAAACAAATGTTTCCTACGACTCTGCAGGACCATATCTAAGAAAGCATTTCCTCAAATCCTGAAATATTTCAAATGACTACTTAAGAATGGAGTACATAGATCTCCTCCTACTGCAGAAATTTACTTCTGTATCTCCAAGGTACATTTTTCCTAAAAGGACATCAGCACCAAGGAGACTACGCCCCTTATGGAAAAAAAAAAAAAGAGAGAATACTTTTAGTCCTTGTGCGAATCCCCACGTTAGGCTCCACATCCTCTCAAGCCGTTCTCCTGTAAATAACTGAACACAGCTACACCAATCCATGGTTCTTTCATGGCTCTAAGTTAGCAGCATTTACAGAGATCTTTCCCGTCACCTAAAAGAAAGATGCTGACGAACAGCAGCTCCTAGGCGTGAATGCCTGGATCCTGCATTCGCTTCTCCCGTTTGTTCTGCGAGCTGCTGCCCCGGCAGCCCCAAAGCCCCCTGGCATTTATCGAATCCAGGGGCCTCCCTGTCTGACACGCTTTCCGTCCCGATTATCGTGACCGTGCAGCCAGCACTGCCTACTCTGAGTAGGGCTGACGAACGCGGCTACGCCCCGCGAGTCCACCGATGATGATCGCAGTCCCGAAGAGGCCAGACCGCCGCCCGCCCCTCAAGCCCAGCCCGCGCCTCCAGATTCCTCCCGCACTAGTGCCTGCCGCCGCTCGGCCCGCCGAGCCTCAAGGACGTTCCTTACAGTCCCTGCAGGTCTGGGCCGCCACATCGACAAAGGGCAACCGCAGCCCCCTCCAGGTCCGCAGGAGCTGCCGGCAGCCACTTCCTAAGGCCGAGCGAAGCTCCAGAACTGCCACCAACTCAGCCCAAACCCCGCTCCCACCCACCTCTGCCCCGCTCCCCGCCACCACGGCCCCCCTTCTCAGCCACCGCCCGCCTCACCTCCAGATCTCACTAGAGGCCACCGAACCCAGGCGCCGGCGCTCCGCCTGTCTCCAGTCAACGGAGACACGGAGCGGAAGGAAGCCTCGTCTTACGCACGCTCAGGGCCGGACGAACCTTTGACCAATAAGAGAGGATCGTTCGATCGTCTAGCCAATCGCCTGGGGGCTTCTCGGCCTGACGGCGTACGTCACGAACTGTCGCCTTATCAACCGCCCACTGCTCTCTGCCGGGCCAAGAACAGGCACCGCACCATCTCTCACCATGGCTTGGCCAACCAATAGCCGTTCGAGTCGCAACACTAGGGCCTGCCTATTGGTCCAAGAGCCTTGGGGGCGCAAGCATGGCAGCTGCCTAGGCGAAGGCGATAGGGGACCTGGCGGGTGGAGTGTCCCACAGCCCCAGGGCCTGACCCGTGGTCGTCCTGGCAGTGAGAATACAGCGGGAGGCAGTGATAGGAAGCAGAATTGCAGCGTGAGGGAAAACTCAGGGTCAGGTCGATGACTGAAAGCGCAGTTACTAGAGGAGGAGAGATGGAGGGAAGTGGAGGCGGCCCTGAAAAAAAAGAGGAATATAAAAAAGGGAAGGTGGCAGCGACGGGCGTGTCAAACCTGTAGCTGGCTGGTAGCTGAAACCAACGCTTTCCCGAGATTTACCCATTAGTGTAAAAGGCTCCAGTTACCCGCGTCTCCCTCTCTTGTGTGGGACATCCATTGCATACTGGATTCTCTGAAACGTGTCTCTCCTGCATCTTCTCTGCATTCCCTCTGCTCTCCGCCTGGTGCAGGGCTTTATTATCTCTTACTTAAAACAGTGCAATAGCGTCTCCTAACTGGTCTTCCCAGTCTTAGAGGGGAAGACTGTCCTGCACAACTCCCACACGCAATATGTGGCATACTATTTCCTATTATGCCATAGGCCCAAATCAGCGTTTCTCATTGTCTACTGGATTAAAGAACCTGTCACCACTAATATGGCCCCACCCCACATTTCTGACGTATCTCTACTTTCTGGTGCGAAGCTTATGTTTCAGCCAGGAGTAACTGGCCCTTCTTCAGTCACAGTACCTTTTTACCTTACTGCTTATGTTTGTTTACCCTGCGTATGCCTACCCATTTTAACTCTTGAGATCCTAACTATCCCTTAAGGACTTTTTCATATACCACCTCTTTTCCTAATTCCCTCAAACACATCATCACTCCCTATCTTGAAAACCCATAAAATTTCCATATTTTTTGACTTTTCTTACTATAATATGTTGAAATTTATTAAGGACAGGAATTGTATTTCACTCAATTTTTAAAGCCTATATTTTGTACACAGTACCTGGAAAACACTAAACACTCCTTAGTTTTAATAAATGATTATAGATTCTTATAATCCTTGTAAAATAAGGATTATTCCCATTTTACAAAAAAGTAAAAATTAAAGTTGATCACATAGATAATGAGTAGATCACATAGATAATGAGTAAAACTGGAATTTCAACCCAGATTTAACACTTAGTTGCTGATTCTACTGTTCCCCACTGCTCCAGTGTAAGACCTTCATTCATATCTCTTTCCCAAACGTGCTTTTGAAATCCTCATGTGCAGTGCACTGTGCTTGGCATGGGAGATATAGTGACAAGCATGGCAGACATGGTGCCTGCCTTTATGAATCTTGCACAGTAAAGAAAACAGGTGAACTACCCAAAGACTGCAATGTTCTCTTAGCAGCCTTGTAAAAAAATAAAAAAAAAAAGAGAGACAGAGAGAGAAAGAAAGTGCCAAGAGCTTAGAAACTGTCATATTTTTAATGCCACTAGAAGTCTCAAAGGCCAAATATCTCAGAAATTACAGATTGTACACCTGCTTACTAATGTAATTCAAATAGGGACTATAAAGCTGCTACCAAAACAGGCTTTAGCCCAAGATTTAGAAATTTTCATTCTCAAACTGCTTAATTGAGAACTCCAATAGGAATATGAGTTCAAAAGCAAGCAATAAAGAAACGGGTTGTCTAGTTTTATGCTCTTAAAATAAATTCTGTATCATTCCTAAAAGGTATTTCAAAAGAAACTTTGTAGCACTTAACTAATAATTTGTACTTAGTGATAAATCACAAACTTTGGTATGAACACAGCATAGAATGGGAGGGTCAGGGAGGCACCAAGGAAGTCTACGTGCTGCTTCCTCATATACATTTAACCTTCCAAGCAGAGTTTATAAAAGTAAAATTTTTTTATTTTTATTTTTATTTTTTGAGACAGAGCCCAGGCTGGCATGTGGTGGCATGATCTTGGCTCACTGCAACTTCTGCCTCCTGAGTCCAGTGATTCTCCTGCCTTAGCTTCCTGAGTAGCTGGGATTACAGGGAATTATAACAACAAAAACAACAACAATAATACTAAAACAAATATTTATATTGTTGTTTCTATGTGTTAGCCACTTGTCTAAGTTTTGATATATTAACTCCTCTTATTAAAAGTCCAATGAGGAAAACATTAGTAGAATCTGCATTTTACAAACGATGAAGCTATAGAAACAGAGAAATTAAGTACTTTGCCTAAATTCACATAGCTTGGAAGTAGCAGAGCTGGAATATGAACTTTGGAATGTGGCTGCTAGGCACATGCCCTAAACCACTTCACAGTTTTATCTTTTGCATTAGCATAGTATGCACTGTTTTGTACTAGTACACATCATATGATTGTTTAATTTTCTGATGCTTTATTACAAAAGACTTTTCATAATATCAGTGAAGAGTTGTACTTGTTTCCCTTCACAGTTTCCAGCTGTGTTCATATTTGTATTTTCCATCTTTGGGCAGTTTTCTTTCTCTTTGTCCTGCACAATGTTTTTTTGTTTTGTTTTGTAATTTTAAACTTCAGGATAATTTTTTTACCATATTGCAAATGATACTTGATCACACATATAGCTCTTGGCAGATATGATGACTGTTTATCACTTCTGCCAAAGGTCAGGAAACATTCACTGGGGGCCTTACTCTGTGATAGGCTAAGGGTTAGGCCCAAGGCAGAAAGTTAAATAGGAAAACGTATACAAACAAACCCTTCCCAGATAACATGGTCAATGGAGTGAGGTATACACAGGGTCCAGTGAGAAAATTTTGCGTTGTGTTTTGAACAAGAGGAGAAAATGGTTTGAAGGTTATTCCGGGCACAAAGGCTAATACTGTGAGCATGAGAACAGAGGTGATGCAGATAGAAGAAAATTTAATTGGGCAGAAATCTTAAAGTACTATAGAATACAAGAAATTTAAAAGGTAAGGAAGTCATGAGCAGGTTGGCAGATCTCAAAGTCCCTACTGGTGATATTTTACATTTACTCAAAGTCTCAGCTGCTGCTCCTCAGTAACAAAACTAAACATTCTGCTTCTTTGTTCCTAAAACTTCCCAAAAGGAAATGTATGGGTGAAGCCTTTCTTGATGTTAGGAACTAAAGTCTCTACAAGCGTGGATACACAGAAAGATTTCTGCTGTCCACTGAGCCAGCTTTCACTGTTTAACTGGTCTTGCTTGTTTATTTTCTCCATTCCTCTCTTTAGGCCTTGCCCAAGCTTTGTAGAATAAGTTGGGTAGTAGTAACAAATTGTATTAGAATACATTTTTTTTTCTTTTTTTTTTTTTTTTTTTTTTTTTTTTTTTTTTTT